CATATCTAAGTGCACCACAGTTTGCTCCAGCATAAGGATAGGACTGAAATACAAGAGCTGAAATAAAATTACATTTTCTAACCATAAATATTGCCTGAAATGATGTCACACGTTTTCTCATAAACATGACCAGAAAATGAAATGATGTCAGCTGTTTCCCTACAAAACCTATGAATCATAAGTCACAAGTTTATTGATCTAACTTTAACATCAACACAAATGTATGACTTAAATTGATTATTTTTGAAAAACAACATACATTTGCAGAATCAAGCGACCCTGGACAGACAGCCAGACGATCAAGGATATAGAGCAATCCCTGCAACATAAATGTATGATTCAAACTCAGAAGACACAATGTACTTAAGTGGTTCATGACTTCACATTTTAACATATACTATTTTAACAACTTAAGTGGAATCACATGAGTAATATGCAATTACCAAAGTCCAGACTAGAGTTCTATTGACACCTTATATAATAAATGTATAGAATATATACTACCACATATATCAACAAAACTATGTTTACATTTTAAACTCAACACCATTTTCAAATGAGCGCAAGACTATGACTACAACTCAAAGCAAGTCGAATTTTAAAGTGGCACCATCAGTTAGCAGAACAATTTTGATATCCCTCGATAGTTTTACAATGAGAGGTGTGATTTCAACCCATTGACATTTTTTGTTGATTTTATGACATAAAATGAACATAAAGCTAGATGTAATCATCAATTTAGTATGATTCGCTCGAAAAATATTAAATTACATATCTATTTATTTTTCTATTCATTTCGAAAAATAGGAAATCTGACTTAGAATGCTTCCCTTTCAGATAAACATGCATTAGAAATATATTAGTCAAGGTGTCCCATCGTGATATCTTACCTTTTCTGTTAGTCTGCGGTTTATCTTTATGATAAAGTATAACTAGATCAATTATGCACAGCCTATCGGTTAGTAGATTTAAATTAAAGTTTTCCTATTGCTATAACTAATTGACAAGTACAAGTATGATGTCATACTCTTTTGACAGCTTGCACTTTATTTTCAACTTGTTTGAACACTACATATTTTAAATATAGAACTTCTACGAAGTCCCATTTGCAAGATTTGTTGATGATTTGCAAATAGAATATTTTTTACAAGTACAAAAGCGATAATGTATTCAAGAGTTTACTTAAACTAACATCAAGTTGCAAAGTTATTCCATTTTTAAAATTTCTCATTTTTCATGCTAATCTTCCTGTTTCTCTCTAGATTAAAAAGGACTGTCTATTTTTCTTGCTTTTTTATGCAACTAAGAACATTCTATATATGTCCGTTTTTCTTTATTCCTATCTAATATTATGCTTTATCTACTCTATTTTCATTTCTATTCTTTGACCATCCCATTATTTTATCTATGGGATATGATGAATTAAATCAATGTTTAACTATTTTTAATATATATCAAGCTCTTGAGTAAAATCTCAATGACTATTTGACAAACTTGAAACATGATGTAACTAAAAGAAATACAACAATGACGCCTAGGTTAGTTAATGGTTGATCATAAGATTTTGCCAATAGGGGGCTAACTATATTTCTTAAGTCTCTCTCTTTTTGGAACAAATGGGCAAACAGATATAATGATTTCCGAATATGTAAAAAAATAAAGGAGAGTGCGTTTATGGCAATATCTAAAAAGACCTAAATGATATAACCCCTATAAACCAATCAAATATTAATTTAACAAACTACAATATGTTTATTATGTTTACAACTCCTTGAAATAACTGTTTATTTCCGATGATTTGATGTGATTTATTCCCAGTAGGCACTTTGTGGTTTGCGAGTGATGGAGTTCAATGAGCCAGAATTCTTCGTTGACCACAAACAAAACCGCAGAATTATATGATGAAATCAGACTGACCAAACATTGCAACCTCATGAGGTCATAAGAGTCATATTTCAAAATAGAAATAGAGTGGACTTAAGTGGAATTAGGTTGAAATCAAGAGTATGCTCAAGAAACAAACACTATCCCAAATTGATCACTTGAGAGAAATCAGTGTTGAAGCATACAGACTGGAGAGACAACATTTCAAATATTGCTGGATTTTAAAGTCATCAACTCTGAATTAAAGTAGTAACTGATAACAGTTGACTCAATAAGTGAATCAGATTGTAAAATTAAGTAACTTCTAAAATTAGTAAATCAACCTTATGGTAAGAATATTTACCTTAAAATATCCAGATTATAAAAGGTTAAAAAAGTATACCAAATCCATATATGGTTCACACAGAAATAGAAATATACAAAATTCGGTTGGCCCAAGGCTATCAGTCGTTTAAATTAAAGTGTTCAGAACATAAAAAGCACCTTCACACTCTGGAATAAAAATATAATATATTATATGATTTTTATCCATTCATAGATGTTGATGTCTGTACTTTCTAGATAAGTTCGCCTTTAATTTTGAAACAGGATATGCTCTCAAATATCTTATCGAAAGTAATTACAAATGAATGTATATAATTCACATTTTCTAATTATCGTTATTGCTAAATCACCTGTTACATATATAGAGTCCTAGTTAAACAAGTTGATTTATTTTATCAAATATGAATACTAGTATATGATGAGAAAAATAAGCTAAGCCCCCCCCCCCATCTTGAAGGATGGACTGCACTGGCCAATGCCTGCTTTTTAACAGTCTGTATGAGGCTTTATATTTGTGAGAAAATTAGGGGGCTTGATAAAAATGATTGGTCAGTTAATCAGTTAAATTATGTTCTTTTTGCAAAATAACCTATCATGATTCAAAAATCTATTTGTAAGATTATAATGGCGACAAGGTTCTCAATGATGATAACTATAGAAAAGCTGCAGCCAATATTTAACTCCCTTCTCACAAATTCTTCCTAAAACTAATTCTTCAATGAAAGGCCTATAAATTGAAATAAAGAACATTGTATAAATTTCTTGAACAAAAGACATAAAAAATGAGCCACTGATATATACTTAGATTCTGCAATATATATATTTTAGAGAGAAAAATTGTTAAATTCATAAATAATCCCAAAGTTTGAAAGGACACAAATACTAAATCTGTAAGAGCCTCTACCCCTGAGAGTAATTTGTAAAACCTAATGGAAGATCTTAACTTTTGATAATATCCTAGAAAATATTTTGGCACCATTTCTTTAAATTTCATGATGATAATGTAGTCCACCACTAAATTGATCTCAATAACTCACTCAAGGGCAAAACTCATGTGCCTAACCTGCGTCACAATCACTTGTATGAATAGGCAAAAATATCCACATTTTTTTAACACTCCTTAAATGCTCTAATAGATCAATGGAATAACCAGTTGAAACTCGTTATTCAAGAAGGCAATTTTAACCAAAGACCATATTGTTTTTTAGGAATATGTCAAGGATACAGAGCAGGGAACAAAACCACATATTCTTTTTTGACTACTTCTGTCAAACATAAAATTATTCTGTGATTAGATCCAAACTAAAAAGCATATCTGATTCTCTAAAATTTTCATTCCTTACATTTTTGATGAGAGTGCGATCATACATCTTATCCATTTGATAAAGCGGGTCGTAACTATGAGATGTACGGATCCTTATACATATAAGTATGACCTTTTTAATTATAGTCTACATGTATACTAAAAAGTATAGACCTCATCTTTGTTTTGAGGGTTCTTAAATACATTGTACACCCTAAATTCACATGACATATAAAATCTAACAGACAAGGGTAAACAAATCAATATCAGATTTCCATATTATTGTAATTCACGAACATATATTTCGATCATGGTTAAAAGCCCATGATTTTGATAGATGGCCAATGATAAGTTAAGAAGGCAGGTATCATTGTCAGCACTGGGAGCTCTAAATCGATCGAGTACAGGGAGGCAATGTCATCCACGTATATTGTCAGACACTCAATGCAGGCCTTCCGACTTAGACAATTACCTACATGGACGACATTGCATCCCTGTCCTCTATAGGCTTAGAGATTGAATTCGCTGTCATTCCTGGAAAATCAGAATAGAGGTCATAATTTTTTCATTTACGGGTGGATATGCATTTTAACAAAGTGAATACATGATTCATCACAATCATGCTCTGGCTGCAAGAAATAAATGCAGGTAATGTAGGCCTAGTATGCCGTGCATATGACACTTGTTGATAACCAACAGCTAGCCTACTTCATTGACTGAGCAGCTAAACTCAAAAAACATAGATATACTGGGTCCTGCCCATGTATATATGCTAGCCCTAAACCCCATGACTCTTAGTCCTAACACTGTCTAACGTACACTAGTAGTGGTAAAATGCAAATATAACCCACCGATTATATCATTGTTGAAAATTTTTTCACTTTCACATTTGCTTCAAACAGTTATGTGTAGATCTACTTACCTCTTTATGGTTGATTTCACTGTTGTTTCGGTTTTTTAACAACGAACAATTAACTTGTATTGTTTCTTTTATCATTTATTTACAATATTTTCCTTTGTAACTTTGGAAAACGGTCAAAGACCACGGAAAATGAACGTAAAAACTGGATAAATTCCGATTTTGAAACAGCTGTAAAATAATGATGTCATTAACCTTATTTGGAAGTATGAGGTCATTTTTAACCAATCAAATCACTCTGAAATGTCATTACGCTAAGACGTCGTGGCGTAATCACGAAAATCGTTCTTACATAACCAAAGCTGCACTAAAATTCTTACTAATACTCAGGTATTGTATTGGAAAAGAATTCTGTTTTGGAAGAACCTGAACATTTATTCCAAATCCGTTTCTTCATAGTTGATGTTGTACGGAAACAGAATCTCACTGGCCTTGTGCTGTGTCTGAGCTGCACATAATGCTAGGACGACATCTATAAACAAAGATACTTTTTTATTAGATCTATATAACTTTCATTGATATCTATAGAGAGGGGAGATAGCACCATCTATACTCAATACTAAGGTTCTTAGTCAATACATCCCGGGTCTAGTGGAAAGAAACGATCGCACTGAACGACAACTAATACTATGACGCATGCGCACTATGATCAGCGGTAAATTCTAAATTTTGTTTTTGCAAACTCTAGCCTCACTTATCACTTAGATCTAGTGGACGAAATCAGTAAGACGAGTAACGGATGTACACTTTTCAAGTAAGACCTAAGTATTTTCTTGTCTTATCTTTCATATATCTAACTTCATCCGATCCTATCCTAATGTGTTGCATCGTACTAAGACCTGTCATTGAACTTTCTTTGGGGGGGGGGACTTCAACTTCAAAAGTCCATTTCACTTTTACTCTGTGACAATCATAAGTGAGTAGCTCCAATAATTACTTGCCATTTTGTGCAACTCATTAAAGTGGCTACAAGGACTGTGGACAGAAAAATTGATAAATTTTACCTTTTCTGAGCTATCGGGGCGAAGTTTGGCCTAACATCTTCTTCCTTATTCCTATTTTGTTAAAATGTAGTAAAATGTATGCATACGGCAATATTCATCAACCAGTGGAACTGATAAATCGTTTAGAATCTATAATTCTATACAAGGAGTCCCACTCATAGATTTTTCAAATTCTTTCCAAGTCGACGTCAATGGGAACTCCAGGAAATTCTGATATTTCACACTTTCTATTTTTCCAAATTTTCTTTCAAAGTTTCCAGACAGCACAGGAGATACCATTGACCTGTATCCAGGTTTACTAAAAGTAGACAGTGTAATGATACTTTCCTGAAAAAAGCAAGGAAACACACACATGCCTTCATACTTAATTATGTACCAGAAAATAACATGTGCATGGCAATTTTTTATCAAAATGTTACTTTCCAGCTGAACCTTAAAAGTTGAATCCGAAGCGTAATCTAAAATAAAAGTGAAAATAAATTGCGTGGACGTTAGAGAACAAACTTCAGGTTTAAGGCGACGCTATATTAAATAAAAAGTACAAAAAATGACTGCCATATTTTTTTGATAAAGACACATGTTTTTAAAATCTGTTTACCTTGTATATGAATTGTGTATCTTGACTAATGAAACATGTCAAAGTTAACATCACACATAAACGCATTTTTCCAAACTATGAATTGGAGGTGCATGGATCCCCAAAGCTAGCATGAAGAGTGCGAAGTGAGGCTAATTTTTGAAAGTTTCAAGGAGTAGCCTTGCAACAGTCACACATTTGCAAGAGTCTAAAATTTCCACAAATCATCTTACCTTTCCCAGGAACAACGAAGGAGCATGAAAATGTGTACTTCTTGCATTGTTAGAGTATAATAAACCTCAAACCATTGTAAATTCCAAATATTTCATGTCCACATTTTGTTTGCCGGAACTACTTCTAGACTTCCTGATTAATCCTCATGCAAGTTTTGTGACTACACCAAGTGGCATGGATTATCACTTGTATGTTTTATCTATTACAGTGTAATTATCATGATAGATACATGATAGAGGCTTTATGAATGATAAACAATGGAATCATGAATGAAGATAACTCTGGACTAAAAAATAGTTCCAGGAAACAAAATGGTGGACATGAAATATTTAGAATTCACAATGGTTTGAGCTTTATTATACTCTAACAATGCAAGAAGTACACATTTTCGTGCTCCTTCGTTGTTCCTTGGTAAGGTAAGATGATTTGTGGAAATTTTAGACTCTTGCAAATGTGTGACTGTTGCAAGGCTACTCCTTGAAACTTTCAAAAATTAGCCTCACTTACAATGGTTTGAGGTTTATTATACTCTAACAATGCAAGAAGTACATTTTGGGTGTAACTTTTTGAAACACTCTGTGCATGATTACAATATTCATAAAAAAATTACAAAAATGACACAAAATTGCCTAAGAGACTAAGGCAGCCACTGTAACTTATAAAAATGGTAGAGGTAAGGAAATAAATATTGACAATGCAGCATGTACAAATATATCACCAAAGAGCATGTATGCCGTTATTGAAATTGACTGTATACTGTTCTTGTTATCCTTTTAGTACACAAATAGACGTTTACTGAATGGTTTCATACAAGACATTTACACAGCTCAGACCAAAAATAAATGCTATGCTTATATTTGTACTTTGATAATGCATATTTTTGCAGGACGTTTGACCTTCTGCTTACTTGGAAGTATTGGAATTTGGAAGTATGATCAAGATAGAATCAAGGTAAGATTAAGTTATAACAAACTTATCAGTGATTTCATGAATTCTTATTTAGTTGGAGGGGGGGCAAAATTTCCACATATTCTGGCGGAGAAATGTGTCAAAAAAGTGATAGATCTACATCTCAAATATTCAAATGGGTGATCAACTATAAGATGATCAAATGGGTGCAGACTACATTTGCTTGGTTACTATAATACAATTGTTATACCAAGCAACTTGGTCTCTCCAGGACTTTTCATGTGGGTGGAAGATTCTCTCTTTCACTTTACTGACGAAAGTAAGTTGAGTTAAGAGCCAATTTATCATGATTTCAATCATTTTCATTTTGGTGCAAATTGGTTTTCAGTTGAGTGCACCCTATGCAGACAGAGCCTGTGGGAAATATTGGGTGCGGAGCAAATGAGCGGAGGGTGCGGAGCTAACGGTTATTTTTGAATTTAAATTTGGGATATTTCTGAAACTAAGGGGCGGGGTCAAAATATCGATGTTCATATGGAGACGAAAGTACTTTCGCGAGGGGGGAGGGGGTTTTTGGGCACTTTCGTTGACCAAAAAAACATCGATAATTCGGATCTGATATACAAAAAATAATTGGACTTACCCACTTTTTCTGGCGCTATGTTCTGATAAAAAGGCTTGTTTTCAATAGTTCGTGAGCTTTTTTGTGTGATAGGTCCAAAATATCGGTAGATAAAGACGATAATTCGATCATTTTTCAAATAAATTCCGTACTTTTCCCTCCTCCTTTTGAAGAGTTTAATGCAGTTAAATTGCGAACGTGTGTTAATTCACCGTAATAATAACCCGGCAAATAGGATACGATTATGCCAATGTTTTTTTGAAGTGACCTAAGCTTTCGTCTAGGGGGGGGTGGGGGGGTTGTTGTCCAAACGAAATTACTTTCGTCTCCATATGAACATTGATATTTTGACCCCGCCCCTAAGCCGTTTTGGGACTTCAAATATACCAAGATATGTGTATTTGACACCAAATATCAATACAATTGTGAAAATAGTAGCGCAATTCATTCTATAGCGACGCAGTGTGCCTTAAACCTTTCCCAGACCTATATATTTTGAAATTATCCTTTTAATACTGAGTCCCCAGCATTCATAAAAATGATGTTCAAGCTGCACTATCTATACAAATTATTTTTGCATCTTGGAAGCCAGGCAGTATAATTTGCATGGGTAGTGTATCTTGAACACCATTTTTTATGAATGCTGGGGACGCAGTATTAAAAGGATAGTCTCAAAATATATAGGTCTGGGAAATGTTTAAGGCATACTGCGTCGCTATAAAATGAATTGCAATACTATTTTCACAATTTTATTGATATTTGGTGTCAAATACACATATCTTGGTATATTTGAAGTCCCAAAACGGCTTAGTTTCAGAAATATCCCAATTTTAAATTCAAAAATGACCGTTAGCTCCGCACCCTCCGCTCATTTGCGCCGCACCCAATATTTCCCACAGGCTCTGTCTGCATAGGGTGCACATAGAAGATCACCAAATACATTAGATTTATAACCTGTATCTTGAATAAGGAATCTCATGATTGGTTTTCAGTTATTATCCCAATGAATGAAATTTGTTTGGGATACAGTGAAGCCCTTTATCTATCAGGCTGTCCATTTGAAAATTAACTTGAATACTAATTATATATATGTAAATACATGTGAGGTGGTCAGGATTTTTTCAAAAATCTTATCACCATATTTCATGATTTTTGATGATGAATTTTCATTTTAAACCAAAGTAATGAATATTACTGTTTGTAATTTTGGTATCCATAGATTAGATGCATTTGACATATATTCTTTATATTTTGGCACGACCCACACAAAGGGAAACAGTAGTTTTTGTTAATTTTTTAGATCTTTTTGAAGTATAGCTTTATTATATTCAAATGAAAGGCAATTCAGAGTAGATTGCAAATAGTGTATCATTTTTCAGAAAATTCAAAATGGCCATCTAATGTTGGATTTCGCGATAATTTTTTGATCTTTTCAAAGTATGGCTATATTATGCTAAAATTTAAGAAATTTTAGAATAAATCATAATTACGTTTTTTGATTGGTGAATCAGAAAATTCTAAATGGCTGCCAAAAGCTGAAATTCGCTATAGTTTAGAGATCTCTTCAAAGTATGGTTACATTTAACACATTTGATCAAACATAATTGTATCCCAGGATCAATAATGATAAATGACGATATTTTGACCACTTTTGGTCAGAATTGTGAAAATGAAATTTCGCTCCCAGGATCAATAATGAAAAATGAAGATATTTTGACCAACTTAGGACGGAATTGTGAAAATCAAGATTTTGCAAAAGACATGGTATTGTCTGAATGATATTTAAGAATATGATTTATATGCTTTGGAAAACACATCTGACACAACCATAATTTGTCATGGTAATCAGGTGGTTGTTATGACTGTGACAGATGTGTACAACATGTAGAAATTACCTTGTGTCCTTGCATTCTCTAAGAAATATGATTTTATTTATAATTTTTCATTGCACCTGAAAAAGGCACATCATGTCACCAGTGTGGCAGTACATGGCTGATGTGCAGCATATTTTCAGTCTGCTCGATAGAATATAATTAAAAATTTTCAGGGAAGTTTCTTAGTATTGAGCTCTAGAAGCAATTTAACCATCTTGTATTGAATACATTTTATTGAACTTTTTATGAAATTTTTTACAGATAAACAAATACAGTAATGGTATTCCAGCAGTTTTGACGAAATACTCATTTTACTTCAATAATATCAGTATCGATACTTTTCCATTCATGAGTTGAAAAAGGTTGGACATGATAGTAATAATTCTTACAACTTTAGCTGTAACACGTGTAGCATTAAGGATTTTATTGTGCAATTACGTACACATGGCACATGTAGTACCTGTAGACTGTACTATATGTATTTCGACTTTCAAGGTGAGGTTCAACAATTTAGAAAAAGAAAAATAGCAAAGCCTTTACGGGTTAATACAGGGTGATCACTATGGATTAATAAAAATGATGTAACATTTTTACTATTCATTTTTCTATGCACAATGCACATACTACTTATACTTTCATAGTCCAGTAGTCTTTAAATTGATGATATAAACTGGAGAAAAATGTGTCTGAAATATAATAAAACGAAAAAGTTAAGCATTTTATAAGTACTTTTTGTACACTCTGTATATCTATGAAATTCATACTAGAGACAACTTAGAATATATTATTGTCAAACACTATTTAATTAAAAGAATGCTTCAAATCTCAATTTCAGATGTTGTTTATTAAAGCTCTTTAATTGAGGTATAATTCATTCTATAATTTAACAATAATTACAAGCAAATTAGTTAATGCAGTAGGATTATACGATTGCATGTGAACATCAAAAAGTCGCAACGGAATTGTTCGGGCATTTGGGAATAGCTGAAGGAACCAGGTGCAAAAACATATGAGTCTGCGGTTAACTATGCCTGCATCATGCAATAAGATATCACGACCAAATATATTTTGAGGATAAAATAACTCAGTTTTCATGTTTTAGGAAATGAATATGAGATGTGGTGGAATTACGGATGATTTAGAATCAGGAGACATCTAGGAATATGTAATTTAAATCAAGACTTTATGTTGAATGAAGAATAGAGTAACTGACATGGTGTATTTAATCATTAGGAAAGTAAAATAGTCTACATGTGCTAAATAGTAAATATAGGAATATATTTCTTTTTGGGAGTGGAATTGTATTCTCAGACTAACAATGGAAATATCAAAATAAGCAAGTACATATTTTTATACAGTATTTATATTTTTAACCAATCAATATATTCATAGGTAGGTGTATTAACATGTGGCTTGATAATGTCCACCCTCCGAGCACAGGGCTCCAGAATCCAGAATATCTTCTTTCTGTAAGAAGGAGGTATGGATTCTGGATACCTGCTTTGGAGGATGGATTATGTCACAAACCTTGGGTTATTGAATAACACATGGGACTGGTGCGTTGTCATGCAATTTTTGTTCATTTGCAGCTGTTACATGGAGATGTGTGCATATGATTTTTTTTTCAAAAAATAAGTCAAATACAAAATTTAAAAATTCACCTTAATTAAGTGATAGATATTTTATTTATAGGTCCTATTACCATTTTCATTGGTCATTGTCAACCTAATACCATTTTTATATCATCAACACAAGTTTTGACATATTGTTATAGTCTTTTTTGTGGTGGCAGTTGGTGTCCAGCGGTTTGTGTTTGGTGTCTGTAACAAATGGCAGGTGGTGAAATTAAATGTAAATGCCTTGTGTATCTATGGCATCATTATAAGTACATACAAGTTTATATGAGGACATATCACATTATCATTCAAGGTTGTGTGTCAGTGTTATATAGATACATATTTTGTGTTGCATGGTGTTTATCTTTGTTTTTCTTATGTTGCCCATTATGCTAAATGATTTTGATTTCTGTTTTGAAAAACCACTGTACCACCATTTTAAATGAGTATTTTAAATTATTTACTTGGTTTTGAAATGTAAAATATTTCATATTACCAAATACATGAATATTACAATTCATTCTAGTTTAGTATTTCAAATAGGAAGAATGTGGAGCCCCAATTTCCTCAATTTAGCTCAGCTCCTGTCTTCTATTTATGTGACTGAGTCTGTATCTTATATCCATGTAATTAGAGCTTACAAATGTTATAAATGAATGCTTTACAGGCATTTCCATCCAAAAACCAATAACTTGGATATAGATAAATCTTGATAACAGTATTTAAGATATTGGGACATAGAATTGTCAGCTTAATCAGTTATTATAAAACAGGCAATCAATATTCCCCTTACAATATAAATCATAGAAACTAAATTTTCACATACTGTCAACGAAACATAAAAGTATAAAACCAACCAAGAGGAATTCATGAGACAGTATTTATAAGAACCTAAGAAAATTGTGTTTTTAGTAGATTTTCTTTGGGGTG